CCCTCCCCCGACAGCCTTCACCACATTATTGCCCAATGTTCATTTTTAAATGGAGGTAAAGGGGAATTTTTTTCCAGATTTTTCCTTTGCTAGTTTTATTTTTAACTGCAACTTCTGAAGACCACTTAAAAAAAATATAATAGTATATTGGTTTTAGGAGAAGTTTAAAAACAATCCTTAACGCAAATACCAAATGAATATGAATAAAAATTGCCTTTTCTTAATGTCACTTGTTACTAAACTGAAAGACTTATTTTGACAGCATACCATACACAGTTTTGTTTTTATTAAATTTTGACATAAGCTATCAGTCCATATATTAATATATTTTCTACATATATGTACAATTGCTTTCCCTTTGTTAATCAGTATCATATCTTATAAGTTAACTTTGGAGTCTTCTGAAACTTTGATCACACAATCATTCTTTCCAGACACAAAATTATTTTCTTGAAATATCATGAGACTTAGATATTAACAGAAAATAACCTCTAATCAGAAAAAGACAACAGCTGTCATTTTCTCAAAAAAAAATCACTTTTACTATAATTCAAAGTTATGTCATTCAACAGATTTTGTTTTCCAAATGTTCATAACATGTCAGGCTTTAAAATATGAAACAGTGTAAACACAGAAGGAAATGATCCTTTGAAATTTACTTTCTAAGTGTTCAAAGAGCACAATACAATCTTGTATTTCCAACTAACAAAATTATAAAGTTATTGGTTCTGAAGTACTAGAGAGCGTTCTAATCTCTCCTACATGATCATATATTTCTAAATGTCCAGTTCAGGATTAAAATGGCTCTGCAAGCCACTGCTTGGCACAGGGTATGGAAACTCCAGACAAGAGGACTGGATTGCACAGCGGTTAAGTGTGCCCCACTTAGCATTTTCAAGCAGTTCAAATAGGGTTGTGTCTAGAACTCAAGATTCTTTCTAGGACCTTTCCTCTCTGGTGTTCCAGCACACTTGAGTAATTTTGAAACTAAAGTCCAAGGCAGGGCAGAGTGTCCAGTCCAGAAATCTTATTTAACATTTTCATTGAACTCTAAAAGACACTTAATGATCCTGGGTTTTCCATTGTGTTAAATGCTGTGGGAACAAGGAGTCCTTTGTTACCCTATTAAGGATGTCTTTTATAATGCATCGCCATCCTACATAAACTTCTTTAACTCTCAAACATCAGCACCAATATAGAAATGAATATTTTTATAATCAATATTAAAAATATTTCAGTTCACTTCATCTGTGAATTTTGTTACCGTAAAGTAAGGGTAAGTGAAACTTCATATAACAGTTCTCATTGCCAATTTCAGGATGTTGATTTAAAACATCCTTATCAGTTTACAAATTTAATCTTTCTTCAGAGAACATTTGTATTTTAATTGCATACACATCAGTACTTCTTGTTTTGGGATCAAAATCACTTTGTAGGTTTCTTAAGTATAATTCATTATAAGCTTCTCAAAGGCAGATATGTATTTATCTATGTGTTATCTGGTCTAGTGCATACAACATAGGTGTCCAGTAACTAATTCCTGAGTGAATGAATACATTCAAGTATCCTTGGAAATATTTTTAATACTATTATAAAAGTACTTGTTTTTATGAAATCAAGTAAGACAAGAAGCTGAATCATGATAACTTTTTCTTACACTAAATTAAGCAGTCTCCTGTTATTCTTGGGATTCACTATAGCAGAATGAAATAATAGTTCTGATGTGCATTTGATAATTGTTACTGTGCAACCATCAGTGCTCAGTTTGGGCATACAGAAGTTTCTGATTGCGATATATTTGTAAAGATCCATATTGATAGGAGTTCTAGCTAACCCAAAATGTTTATGAGACAAGTTGGTGATCTCAGTCCCTGAGGCACGAGTACTATATCACAGAAAAACACCTTGAATATTCCCTACAATTATCTTGGAGAAGAATTGACAAACCTTACTGGAAGGAAGGAAAGATTTTAACAATAAAAATTAGCTAGATCTTGTCTTCTGAAAGTCAGTGGCTGATGTTACCTTAATAGTTCCTCTCACAAACACTCCATTTACTGAGGAAAATATCTAAAGTACACATAAATTACTACCTCTAATCTTGGAAGTTTTTAATAGACTTGCAAAAAGCAGCTCTGAGAAGAAAATGTCTCCAATATTAAATTATCTTAAAGCTGTTTATGTTTTTCAAAAACATAAATACTGAGAAGAAGGAATATTCACGTGAGAAATTAAAGATATGCATACCACTAGATGCTTCATGACATTTGCAAATGTGAATTAATGTTTTAATTTTTTTTAATGGACTGTGAGTGCAGCTCAAAAGGACTGTGTATTCAAAGGAGACACTAAGATAATGATGATAGATATATCTTGTATTCGAAAAGACTTCCTGGTCAGCACTTTAATACTACTATAGTTCTGACAATGAGCACTAAAAAAAAAACCCAAATATTTAGAATTAACCAAATGTTTTATGGCAGGAGAATGTCGAAATTTATTTTAATGATTACTTGTAAATTAGATTGCTGTAGAGTACCTTTAGATAAGGGATTTAGTTTGAATCATCTTTTGCAGATGATTCACTTGATATTAAATGGTTTGAAAAGAAAGCAGTTTTCCTAGGTAAAATAAATTCTAAACTGAGCTGATAAAATTGTTGATGCAATAAACATGTTCATATATTGAATGTATTTAAAGAACTGCATCCCTTCATCTGAAACAACAAAAATGCCAGGAAAATTAACTTATTTTAATGACTTTTATGAAACTTTTGAAAAAATGCTGTTAAAGGTCTTGCTGTGCACTTTGAAACCTATTCTCCAGCTGCAAAAAGGCTGCTTAATAATTTATTTTTTAATTTTTAATTCGTTTTCTTATATATAATTTTCATACAATAAAATTCACCTCCTTACACAGTTAGATAAGTTTTGACAAATGGACATACTTGTGTAATCATGATTATAATCTGTTTATTCATCTACTGATGATCACTTGTTTTGTTTCTAATATTTGGCTATTGTGAATAAAGCTGCTATGAATACTTATGTATGTTTTTTTGTGGACATGTGTTTTCATTTCCCTTGGGTAAAAGTAGGATTGTTGAATCAGGTGGTAGGAAAGAGTAGATTTAATTTTATAAAAAACTGCCAAAACGTTTTTAAAAGTGGATGTACTCTTTTATACTCACACCAGCAACATATGAGACTTCTAATTGGTCCACATTCCTATCAGCACATACTACTGTCAGTCTCTTTAACAATAGGCATTGTAGTATGTTAGTAGTACAATCTCATTGTAGACTTAATTTGTATTCCTTTAATGACAAATCATATTAAGCATTTTAAAATTTATCTTTATTGTTAAAACTATTACAGGTGTCCCCTTTTTTCTCTCATTGATCCCCTCCACTCCACAATATTAAGCATTTTAATGTGTTTATTGGTCATTCATGTATATTCTTTGATATAGTGTGTGTCCAAATACTTTACCTGCTCTTTATTTGTTTCTGTTCTTAAAATAGTGTTGTAAGAGTTCTTTATGTGTTCTGAATGCAAGTCCTTAACAGACATTTGATGTACAAGTATGTACCTTGTATTTTTATATTATTAACATTGTCTTTTGAAGATCAAATTTCTTTTAAAAACTTTGATGAAGTCTTTCTTTTAGGTTTTAGGCTTTTTGTGTCCCGTTGAGGAATCTTTGTCTAACACAAAGACACAAAGATTTTCTCTGTTTTTCTCTAGAAGTTTTATAGTTTTAGGATTTACCTTTAAGCATATTATCCATTTCTTGTTAAATTTTGTATATGGTGTGAGGTAAGGTTGGATTTTTTTTTTAAATAAACACTGTTCTTTCAAAGACTGCTCTTTCTTTTTCCATTGAATTACTTCAGCATCTTTTTTGAAAACCAACCAAATATATATTACCCTTTTCAGCATATATATTTCAGGACACTGTTCTGTTCCTCTGACCTATATATCCACCTTTTTGCCATTACCACACATGACTGATTTCTTGATTATTGTAGCTTTAATAGTAAATCTATTCAGAGCACTTTTATGGCCATTTTGAAACTTATACTCCTCAAAACTAGAATAACCAAAGATTATTAATATTATATCCATTTTACTGATGAGTAAACAAAGTCACAGAGAAGTTAATTAACCTGCCCAAGTTTACACAATTATCAATAGTCTTGATACTAAAGTCTTTCCAAATCTTAGTCTATTGCTTTTTTCCTATACAACTAGCAAAAACAGTTGTAGAGATAATTGGTATACAGTGGTATATTTGGAGATATTTTCTGAGTAATGGACTCCTACATAAAGGCAGGGGGGTCAGCAAACTACTTAAGAGAGTTTTAGTAATAATTTCAATCTTTTTTTGATTAAAAAAAAATACTAACCTTTTTAGTTCTTAGTATTTGGCTTTGTGAATGATACATTCAGCATTACTGCATCTGTAATTGCTTTTTACTTGAGGTTAATTGGGCTCTGTCTATTCTTAACACTAATCCAAATGCTAATTAGGTTTAATATAAGTGGAGTCTTTCCAAGAAGAGAACTGTTTCTTGATTTTTCTCTTACTGGAATTAATTTCATTGGATTTTTGACCTTACAGATTGTTTTCTGTTGTTGATTTGCTTAAAAAGGAGTTCTTGAGTAAAAAGACAATTTCCTTTTGTGCTTTATATTCTTTTATGCTAAAATTTTATATTCTTTATTGTCTCTCTAATTTGATTTTTTAAAATTTTATTGTGCATCAGCTATGTACAGTCTTGTGTTTGCATAGGATAATTATATCCTTTGATGTTTTCTCCTTCAGAATGAAGAAGTCAGATTCATTGAAAATGAACTAGAGATTCAAAAGCAAAAATACTTTAAACTTCAGACATTTGTTAGAAGCTTGATACTAGCTATGAAAGCTGAGGATAAGGATCAACAGCAGGTAGGTGTCAGAAGAGAATAGTAAGCTGTAAATGGCATGTAACACTTGGCTTTTTCATAATTTTTTTGTACTTTATGCCTGCTTTCCATCAAGGAAGGCTTTGTTACTTATGACCTTTTTCACACCGATTTCTTGAGATTACATACTCAGATTTTTGTGTGCTGCTTTAGTGGAAAATAAAAATAAATTATTAACATATTTTAATTACAAGTTAGAAATAGGTCTGTCAGAAAAAGCTAAGAGCCATAGGATTTCACTTATATGTGGGATATAAAACTGAAACTCATGGACACGAACAGCAATGTGGTGGTTGCCAGAGGTAAGGGGGTGAGGGGTGAAGGGGGTCTTAATATATGGTTAAGGGAGAAGATATGACTTTGGATAGTGGGCACACAGAGCAATATACAGATCTTGTAACATAAAAACCCACACCTGAAACCTGTATGTTCATATTAATCATTGTCACCCCAATAAATTTAATAAAATAATAATAATAATTTTAAAGAACTTAAAATGTGTGTAAAAACAGCTACCTTAACTAGAGAGGCACATATTTGGGGACCTTTTGTAAATGAAAGTAAAGCATGAGACCTTTACTTCTTTTCTGGATTTCAGTTGCCTTCAAGCCTATACTAAAGTTCATAAATATTTGAATACCTTCTAATTCATGATATATTGCTCACCACCAAAAAATATGAAATTACTTTGTGAAATTATTTGTGACCATGGTGTATCATTTACTTATCCTAATTCAACTAAAGTGTTTGAGTGTTCTACCTCAATGATGAAATTAATGTCTTTTGTTTATTGCTGTTGATTTTTGTTTACAAATTCCTCTTAAATGACATTTTCTGTCTCATTTTATGTGAAATTTTTATAACAAATTATTAAACTTGCTAACAAGAATCATAGAATTATAATGTTCCATTTAATACTAATTGATACCAAATTTGTCTTTGAGTTGTATACTGCCATGTTGATTCCTTATTAGAAAAGTTCAATATGAGTACTATGTCACAAAGGTAACCATTAAGAAGCAGTCTCAGAGGTTTTTATTCAGTAAGGAATCTCAAGAGTATAAAGATGTATCCCTTATATACTGACAAGATTGCACATACCATCCCAGATATCTGCAGGGGAAAAGATTAGTCGTAGCCTCTCACAATTCTCCCTTTTTTAAAAGAAGAAAGTCTTTCTATGTCTCACTGAAGTACTTAACCACAAAAATTTAAATGAAAAGAATTCAGTCATGAGGTTCAAACTAGCACATACATTATGTGTTTATATTCTTGATATTTGCTCCCCTGGTGCCACACACAAAGATATCCCAAGATAGTAATCTTGAGTTACCTTAGCCAGCTTTTATTTAAGCCTATTGCTTTATCATGTGAACTATGCATATTACATAGAATACTGAAAATTTGTTTGTTTTTTAGGAACCTAAACTAAAGATTTTACAGAATAAGTTACTAATGTTGAACGTAGTCCCATGGGTAAATAAGTGTAAAAAAATTAGTCCAACCATAAGAATAACTTGGAGTGTGGTCTTGGTCCCCAAAGTTATAGTATGGTTTTGAATTCAGAATTATATAGCAAGCTAAATAGCAGTTGTGTATATCTCTTCATTTCTTACATTTTTCCTCCAGTGTTTTATTTATTTATTTATTTGTTAATGTTTCTTTATCTTTGTTGTTGAGAATATTACAGATGTCTCCTTGTTATACTCACTGATCCCCTCCACCCCACATCCATCCCACCCCAAGGCTTAACCCATACCAATGTCTGTGTCCATGAGTTATGCTTATAAACATATAAGTTCTTTGATTAATCTCTCCCCATCACACCCCCCTCTCCGCCTTCCCTCTGAGATCCCTCACTTTGTTTTATGCTTCTATGTCTCTGGATCCACTTTGTTCATCAGTTTATTTTGTTTATTACATTCCACATATAAGTGAGGTCATATGGTACTTGTCTTTCTCTGACTGGATTATTTCACTTAGCATAATACTTTCTAGTTCCCTTCATGCTGTGCCAAAGGCTAAAAGGCCCTTCTTCTTTACAGCTGCATAGTATTCCATTGTGTAAATGTGCCACAGCTTTTTTATCCACTCATATGCTGATGGGCACTTGGGCTGTTTCCAGATCTTAGCTATTGTAAATGGTGCTGCTATGAACATAGGGGTGCATAAGTTCTTTGCGATTGGTGTTTCGGGTTCTTTAAGATATATTCCTAGAAGTGGGATCACTGGGTCAAATGGCAGGTCAATTTTTAATCTTTTGAGGAACCTCCATACTGCTTTCAATAGTGGCTGCACCAGTCTGCATTCCCACCAGCAATGTACTAGGGTGCTCTTTTCTCCACACTCTCACCAGCACTTGTAGTTCATTGATTGTTGATGGTAGTCATTCTGACAGGTGTNTTGATGGCAGCCATTCTGACAGGTGATACCTCACTGTGGTTTTAATTTACATCTCTCTGATGATTAGCGAAGTTGAGCATTTTTTCATATGTTTCTTAGCCATTTGTATGTCCTCTTTGGAGAAGTGTCTATTTAGATTTTTGCCCATTTTTTAATTGGATTGTTTGTCTTCCTCTTGTTGAGTTGTATAAGTTCCTTATATATTTTGGATATTAACGCTTTATCGGCTNGTCTTCCTCTTGTTGAGTTGTATAAGTTCCTTATATATTTTGGATATTAACGCTTTATCGGCTGTGTCATTGGCAAATATGTTCTCCCATACAGTGGGCTCCCTTTTCGTTTTGTTGATGGTTTCTTTTGCTGTACAGAAGCTTTTATTTTGATGCATTCCCATTTCTTTATTTTCTCTTAAGTTTCTCTTGCCTTAGGAGATGTATCAGCAAACATATTGCTATGAGAGATGCCTGACATTTTACTGCCTATGTTTTCATCCAGGGTTTTTATGGTTTCATGTCTTACATTTAAGTTTTTTATCCATTTTGAATTTACTTTTGTGTATGNCTGCATGTATCTGTCCAATTTTCCCAACACCATTTATTGAAAAGACTGTCTTTACTCCACTGTATGTTCTTGCCTCCTTTATCAAATATTAATTCACCATAATGGCCTGGATCAGTTTCTGGGTTCTTTGTTCTGTTCCACTGATAGATATGTCTGTTCTTGTTCCAGTACCAGGCTGTTTTGATTACAGTGGCTTTGTAGTATAACTTGACATCTGGTATTGTGATCCCTCCAACTTTGTTCTTCTTTCTCAGGCTATTCAGTGTGTTTTTTAGTTCCATATAAATTTTTGAAGTGTTTGTTCTAGATCTGTGAAATATGCTATTGATANAGAGATGTCTGAGATTTTGCTGCAGATGTTTTCCTCTAGGATTTTTATGGTTTCATGTCTTACATTTAAGTTTTTTGACTATTTTGAATTTACTTTTGTGTATGGTGTAAGTTGGTGGTCTAGTTTCATTTTTTGCATGTACCTGTCCAATTTTCCCAGTACCATTTATGAAGAGACTTTCTTTACTCCATTGTATGTTCTTGCCTCCTTTGTCAAATATTAATTGAGCATAATGACTTGAGTTGATTTCTGGGTTCTATGTTCTGTTCCACTGATTTATATGTCTGTTCTTGCACCAATATCAAGCTGCTTTGAGTACAGTGGCTTAGTAGTATAACTTCATATCTGGTATTGTGATCCCTCCAACTTTGTTCTTTTTTCTGAAGACTGCTGTGGCTATTTGGGGTGTTTTTCAGTTCCATATAAATTTTTGAAGTTTTTGTTCTAGATCTGTGAAATATGCTGTTGGTATTTTAATAGAGATTGCATGGAATTTATAAATTGCTTTGGGTAGTATGGACATTTTAATGATGTTAATTCTTCTAGTCCATGAACATGGTATATTTTTCCATTTGTTGATATCTTCCTCTATTTTGTCAGTGTCCTGTAGTTTTCCAAGTAAAGGTTTTTTACATCTTTGGTTAAGTTTATTCATAGGTATCTTATTTTTTTAGTTGCAATGGTAAATGGGATTGTTTTTTTAGTTTCTCTTTCTGAGAGTTCATTATTGATGTATAAAAATGCCATCAATTTCTGGGTGTTAATTTTGTATCTTGCTACCTTGCTGAATTCATTTATTAAATCTTGTACTTTTTTGGTGGAGTCTTTAGGATTTTCGATGTACAATATCAATGATCTGCAAATAATGACAGTTTTGTTTTCTCCTTTACAACTTGGATGCCTTTTATGTTTTCTTCTTGTCTGATCACTGGGAATAGCACCTCCAGTACTATGTTGAATAAGAGTGGTGAAAGAGGACACCCCTCTCTTCCTCCTGTTCTTAGGGGAAATGGTTTTAGTTTTTCCATTGAGTATGATGTCTTTAGGTTTGTCATATATGGCCTTCATTAAGTTCAGTTTTGATCCCTTTAATCCCACTTTACTGAGAGTTTTTATGAAAAATAGGTGTTGGATTTTATTGAAAGCTTTTTCTGCATCTATTGATATGATCATGTGATTTTTTCTTTCAGTTTGTTTATGTGATCTATCAGGTTTATTGATTTGCGAATATTGTACCAGCCTTGCATCCCTGGAATAAATCCCACTTGGTCATGGTGTATGATCTTTTTAATATATTGCTGGATCTGATTTGCTAATAGTTTGTTGAGAATTTTAACATTTATGTTTATCAAGGATATTGGCCTATAATTTTCTTTCTTTGTAGTGTCTTTATCTGGTTTTAGAATTAGGCTAATGCTGCCTTGTAAAACAAGTTTGGAAGTGTTCCTTCCTCTTGGATTTTTTGAAATAGTTTGAGAAGGATAGGTGTTAATTCTTCTTTGAATGTTTGGTATAACTCCCCTGTGAAGCCATCTGGGCCACAGCTTTTGTGTGCTTGGAGCCCTTTGATTACTTCTTCAACTTCATCAGCAGTTATCAACCTATTTAGACTTTCTGACTCTTCCTGATTGAGTTTTGAAAGGCTGTATTTTACTAAGAATTTATCCATTTCATCCAGGTTGTCCAGTTTGGTGGCATATAGTTGTTCTATATCTCTTGATATCTAGGAATAGCATACAGATTGCATTTTCTTTTCTCCTTCTCTCATACTTTTCTTCTGATAAAAACTAATGTTGGTTAAGAAAGGATGCCTTATGAAAAATTTACTAGCCAGGCCGGTGTTGCTCAGTGGCTGAGTGTCGACCCATGCACCAAGAGGTCACTGGTTCGATTCACGATTAGGGCACATGCCCAGGTTGTGGGCTTGATCCCTAGTAGTGGACGTGCAGGAGGCAGCCGACCAATGTTTCTCATTGATGTTTCTATCTCTCTCCTTTCTCCCTTTCCCTTCCTCTCTCTCTCTAAAAATCAATAGAACATTTTAAAACATTTTTTTTTAATTGTACTAAAAGTCATAGCTTATATAATAAGCATCTAAATAGAAACTCCAATTTTCATAATTAATATTAGGTATAATGGATGTCAATTATCATCTCAAAATACAGAAGACACTAATAATACCCCATAAAAGTTATTCAAATGATGTCTAAATTACTGATTTAAGACTGTGAAATTCTTAGAGGTTTATTTCTAGAAGGAATTTGTTTCATTGATTTCTTATTTTTTTTTAAATCCTGTGTTTTTCCATTAATCTTAATTTGGGTAAGTTGAATGAGATGAATGGTACACAGAATATTTTGCTTTAATGAAGCAGTTCAGGCTTTAAAAATATATGATATGATCTGACTGAAATATTATATTACTCAAAAGATTTTTTAATAAATGACAATTTTATAATAAAAATAATGTAATGTTGCCAGCACTATGTGAACTTAGCCAGGTCAACTGCATTTCTTGAACTTCAATTTCTCTACTTTGCAAGTAGGATCAGAAAGCTTAACATCATGGAACTTGGCATTAACAGCTAGGGCCTAGAATAAGTGTTATAGAGACTCATGATATATTTGTGAAATGTTTTAATATTTTGGGAAGAGTCAACCTAGGTCAAACATTGAAGATAGACTGATGAAGAACCTATAGTAAAAAAAGTTAATTGTGTTAGTATCAAAGAAAAAGGCAGTTCTAGCAATTGGCATACCCCAAAGATTTGTTCTTTGTGCCAGTGTTGCAATCTAGTAAGATACTGGAGGGGGGGGATTTTTTGAAGTGGTTTTTATGCATTAGTAGTGCTGTATATTGCCTCAGATTTTAAAGCTTTTCTATTTGATACTGCACTCATTTTGTCAGTCAGATATGTGAAGTGCAATGACAAAGAAATAAATAATGGTGCTTCTTTGATTTTAAGGTCTCCCCACTAGAATTTAGAATGTCATTAAGTCTGCTCACCCACTTGATTTGTCAATACTCTAAACATATGTTCAATGAATGTTAGAGCACTTTTCCCACTCTAATATATCTTCTTCACAGTTAAAGTGAACTAAATCCAGTCATATATTCCTCATAAACTATTATTAGCCAATGTCAGCAAAAGCTTTGCTTCACCTGGGCTGGGTTAGTGATAAACAACTGTTATGGAAGAAAATGGCATCGTGTCCTATTACTGCAACCTAGCACCTTAAAAAGCATGTAGTACTTTTAGGTGACCACTTTGTAAACATTCTCAATGTCAGTGGAAAATTAAAGAACTTTTTCAAAATTGATTTTAGACAGAAAGAAAGGGGGAGAGAAGGAGGAAGAGAAAGGAGAGAGGAGAGAGGAGAGAGGAGAGAGGAGAGAGGAGAGAGGAGAGAGAGAGAGAGAGGGAGAGAGAGAGAGAGAGAGAGAGATTTATTGTTCTACTTATTTATGCATTCATTTTTTGATTCTTGTATGTGCTCTGACTGGGGACCAAACCAGCAAACTTGGCATATCAGGACTATACTCAAACCAACTGAGCTACTCAGCCAGGTCCAAGAAATATTTAGTAATATAAAATAAATAACTTTTTTTCAGACAGGAGTAGTCTTTCTTTATGCAGCTTGACTAAAAGGAGAAAGCTTCTAATCTTGACTCTTTGCTATAAGATAAAAAGTATAAGATTTATATATCTCACTTATTTTAATAAAGAGAGTAGGATAATACTGTCCTATTTCAACAGTGGATTTCATATGTTCTCCAACATGCCCCATTTTTCTGTTCCTTAATAGGTAGTGGCAAGCTTGCATTTGTTTCTGATCCCTTGGACCTTCTTTACCACTACATCCAAAGCCCACATTACAAGTAATGCTGTCTAAAAATTGCCCAGATATGATACGCTATTTTTAGTATTCGGAGCAGAAAATCAGTCATTTACTTTACAATTTCCTATGTTCAAGTGGGCATCAGCACTGTCAGCCACATAAAACTGCACTGATCATTTTTTTCTCTAGTATGGATGTGTGTTCTGCAACTCTAGATGAAATAATTACACCATGGTGAAGCTTAGTTTGTGGCTCTTGGCTTATCTGATTACTCTGGCAGAGAAATAACCAGCCCCCTAGATACATCATTACATACTTAGATTCCCTAGTTCAACTGTGCCCTGGTGGGTATTTGGCTATTTGTAGAATATGGGCATAGACTAAGAAAAGAAAAAAAAAATCACTTAGACTTTTCAAGTTGTTAAAGTTTAGTCTAAAGCTGAACTTTTTTCTCAATGGTTAAGTTCTTTCTCCCACTGAAGTGCAAAATAGTCTTTTGTGAAATGTGTTTTTCTCTAAAAGACAGCATAACTAGGCAGGAATATTTTAATAATGAATATAATTTTAAAGCCCTTAAAGAGTGATCAATGAACACTCAAAACTAGTATGTAAATTACTTATCTCAAACACTTCAAAGCACTTGGTACAGAATAGCTGTTCATCTCTCTCCCGATTTCCCTTTTGTCCAAGGTTCTACTCCATATAATCCACACTCTCAAGATCTGGTGTATTAAGAATTTTTCTTTTAGGTAAGACCATATAAGGTCCTAAAAGAGAAATGCTCCTTTCTTTAAATCCACAAGAAGAAATCAATATGAGAGGGCTGCAACTGTTAACATAAAATTGGGGAAAAAATTGTCCACATACTAATTCAAAAAAATTGATTTTTCTGACTCAGGCACTGCTGTCAGATTTACCTCCTGAATTAGAAGAGATGGATTTCAATCATGCCTCGCTGGAGCCTGATGATACCTCATTCAGTGTGTCTTCTTTATCAGAGAAAAATGCCTCAGACAGTTTGTGATTTGAGGGGGGTGGTATATGATACAGCCTTTACACTGCCTAACAGGTGTGCATTGCAAGATGACTGCATTCTGTTGCCTGAAATTCTTCAGTTGGAAAAAAATATTGTTGAAACCAATATATGCTGTGAAGGATGAGCAAGATATAATGGCTACAGTACAAAAAATGTATGTGAAATTTAAAAGCATTTTTTGAGAGTTTTCCCAAACTGATAGAAATCTGGGAAAATAACTGTAATTTTGAGCAGTTTATCTATGAAATGCATAATGTTTAATTTTTTAATTTTTTTGTTTGGTTTTAGAGAAAAATCTTAGTTTTAATAATAGTTTTGGCCAGAGACACAAAACTGAAAGTATTTCAACATTGTTTTATCAAATTACTGAAGCTTGATTGTTGTTTTTGTAGCCATTACATTTCTTTTCTCTCTTCTTTTCCTAACATACACTTTTACTCAGGAAAGTGGACTAAAAATTGAAATGAAACTTTGAAAGTGATTTAACCTGGAAGAGTGTTGGGATTTATTTTTCAAACCCTATGAGAATTTGACTTAAGTTAACGATTGAAAATTGAAGTGTTTCCTAGTATATAATTGTTAATTGTTGGTATTCTTCCATGATCTAACCCAAGTATTTGGGGGGAGGGGTGAAAGCATTATGGAACAGTAATTCACAAACATGAAGTCAAATGAATTAAGTGTACAGAAACAAAATGTTTTAAAAGATTAGTCTTAATGGAAATTCTTCTTTGCTGTAAATGACAACTATTGATATGATTCACATTCTACTAGTAAAATTGCATAACTGAGTTAGATGAAGTGTTGCACAAATATTACAAGTTTATCAACATCTTCATAATTTTTTTTTTACTTTTTAAACATTTTATGAAACAGGAAGTCAAGGTAGACCACTAAGATTATTTTTAATCTAGTCATTCAGCTTTGCCACACAATTTACCTCATTTCCACCTGAGGCTTGTGCAGAGCCATCAGCCAAGGATAATATCCAAAAAAAAGTTATACTACTTTAGTTGTAAATTCAGTCTTCTGGATTTCCTGGACACTGTGTTCTATGAGCATTCTACTCATTTGTTCTTTTAGCAAGTACCACATGGCAACACACTGTAGACAATTCTTTGCAAACCTTTCATTCCAGGTACCAGATGGTATCATCAGGGCCCATAAAAGGGATAATGCCAGTTTCTCCCTAAGCACACAGTGGAGTCGTGTTGCTTGGTTAAATTACTATATATACATTTAAAAAATTAATGAAGTAGCTTAGATGACTCTCTTGGCCATCAACTTTCTATATCAGATAGTTTTGTAATTTTTAAGAAAAACCAAATTTGATCTTGTAATTCACAGATACCAATTTACAAATACAGAAAGGCAGTCATGAATGTCTTTGACCTTGAAATGTCTCTTCGCCACACACACAAATAAGTGAGGTTCATTGATAATCTTTATTTTGTCAGCTATTTGTTAAATTTAATATTGTTGTCATCTTACTATGGTTTTTTTGTTAGCAGAAATATATCAATGGTTAGATATGCTCCCTTTTAGCTGGCACCCATATGGTTCATTGAAAACAATGTTTAGTGCTCCTTGATAACAAGTAAAATGTCATTCAGAAAAAAAAGAGTGCTGAATAGCAACTGAACCTCAGATAATAGGATTAAACTTATCTGTCTTATCAATTCTTCAATGAGATAAAGAGTCCGAATTATACACAGCAAATATGGAAATCATTTCTTAATGTAGCACGAACAAATTCCAGGCCTTTTAACCTCTCCTGAGATCTCCTTCCTATTCATTGAGTTTATCTTTAAATTCTATTTTTTTCTGTTTCAATTTAAGCCCCTTTGTTTTTGGTTCTTGTTACAAAGTAAGGAAAGATGATTCTTTCCTATACCTTTCAACTTTATGGATATTTGTCACATCTCAGCATATAGTCACTAAATCAAATAATATTGACCCCCTGCTTTAAGGACATTGGATTTCCAGTTCTCAACAAGCCATAAACTTCAAAAAAAATTCTTTCTTATCACTTTTTCAGGGGTATTAATACAATGTATTTTATTTAAAAGTTGAATAGATTTAAGGATTCTGCTAAGTGTGATTCCTAGAAGGGCCCTTGTCCACAATTTTGAGAGAAAGCATAGATGATTCCCTTGTCCCTGTTTAAAGTTTCATTAAATAGAAACCACACTTAGGGATCTTTTTGTTTTGACATTTGTGCTTCAGCACCAGAATTATTTATTTTACTATCACTGGAAATAAACATTTTTAAAATGAAATATGGTTGCTCTAGAGCAGGCACCAAAGCAAATAGCTGTATCCAAAAAGAAAAATCATGATTGGCAGGATGAAAATTATGCCAAAGTGTGAAGTATTTAAAAATCTATTATGAGGAAAATATAAATTTTAATGCATATAGATTGGAATTGGTTTTGAGACATTTTAGAGGCAGAAAAATATCAGTTCATGACTTCTTTTGTGAACACCTTCATGACTAAGGGGAGAAAAAAACCCTAGTGTTTCTTCCTATAGGGCTTTGACACAATAGTGAAACCACACTATCTGAACCATCTCTCACAAAAATAAGCGTCAACGTGAAAAATCTTTTTTTTTCTTTTGCCTAACTTGTATGTTTATTTCAGTTTAGGATAGCCAACAAGTTTCTAAGCAGGAAATATGAATCTAAGAGCACTTACCTTCCAAAATATGTATTAAAATACAAAACAAACAAAAAATGAAGATACCTTTCTCATTTCAGCCAAGTTAAAATTATTACTTTTTAAAAATATATCTTTATTGATTTCAGAGGGAGGAAAGGAGAGGGAGAGAGAGAGATAGAAACATAAATGATGAGAGAGTCATTGATTGAGCCCGCAACCCGGGCATGTGCCCTCACCTGGAATTAAACCCCAATCGCCTGGATTCCAGGTCCACGCTCAACCGCTGAGCCACGCCCGCCAGGCTAAGCTAAAATTATTTACAAGAAAAATAGAACTGCAGTTACCCTGGTGAATAAGAAAATTAACACATGCAAGGAAAACTTAAAATAAAATTTTTATGGAACCTGGGAATGTTTTATTGTAAGATCAATTATAACAGCAGGACATTTATACTATCATTGCAATTATGTGATAGAAATATTTGTGATTGTTGGGGAAGAATAGTCTGCAGCCCAATCACATCTGTGCTCTGTATACTACCAAGACTTCAAAAGATGTCCGAGAAGTCATTTTTCCAAAGACAGCAACATCTATTTTAAGGCACTCTCATAGTAAAACAATCTGTAAGTTTGTGGGCGAAAGCATAAGATGTGTATTTAAAAAAATTCTAGACTCTAATATTGACTTCGTTGCCTTTTTTGAGGGGAAGGGGCATTTAGTCCATTTCCAAGAAATAGTTTCCTCATTTTTGTCTGATAATTTATGATCACTTGTAAGAGACATTAACTGCCATCCTTCCTACACACTACACATTGCAGTAATGGTATACCAGGAATATCGTTTATTTTAAAATATATATTAGATTTTCATTCAGATCCTAAAAATGCCACATCCTGATACATTCACTTTTTAAAGGAGTTAGAAGAACCATAGTTTCTAAATGATAACTAAATAGGCTTATCTTTGAAGTTGGTGTTATACTTGGCAGACAGCACTGTATCTTGCTCTTCACCAAGCTATGCTCTGGCAATAATATAATGGAGGAACCTATTAACTTGTGAGCCTACAGTCAACATACTATTGCCCAAAGCAAACCTTTATTAATACCAGATTTGCTAAGGGGTAAAAGAGAATAAAATGATATTTTCATGGAATTGCCATTATGATTATTACATTAAAGAGTATACTGAGTATGTTGTTCCACACTGAAATTTTATTTTGCATTAACTTGTTAAGTAATTAATTTTAGAAATTTTGCATCCCATTTTACTGGTACTACCTCTGAAACATACTGTCACCTTAAAACCATATCAGACTGTAATGTGAACTTTTTTGTAGGATTTTTTTTAACTTTTGTAGAGGCAATAAATGATTTCCAAAGAATAGACATCTATTTCTTTATTTTAATGTTTATTTTCCCATATTTTTGTGTTATAAGCACTGTATCCATTTTAAAGATCATTTTTCCTTACAAAAAGAAGGTTCTTGTAAAAAGACAAAAAAATGCTGAGAATAGTAGTATCGGGGGACCCAAAAAGGGAGAACATGGAGTATTCAATTGGAAATTTGGTTGATTTCCAAACTGACATGTATATCATCCTTTACTGACTTTACTTAACAAAGAATTACTCCAACACCAATGGAATAGAGTAAACATTCTGTAACAGATTTGTTCATAATAGTATACTTAAATGGTTAAATCAGCAAGTAAATTGCCACAGTAACAAAGAATGATATTTTTACAATAGATTTTTTTAAAGTGGTGGTGTGGCATCTATCTTTTGGCTGTCTTTGCTACCAGTTCAGTAGGCTTTTAATTTGGGTAAAATATGCCCATACCTTTTTTTCAAAGTTTTATACCTATTAAAAGTCTTCATATTACCTAACTAATAGGAGAGGGTTAGGAGTGAGTTTCAAATAGCACATCAGCAGTTTTCTTTCCCAGTTGATAAAATTTCAAGAATGTTGCAAGAGACACATACAAACATATACTTCAAATGATCCAAGTCATTTTCGGATCTGTAAAAAACATCAACAAAGTGGTGAAATCCTTTGTTTTAAAAAATGAGTGGGAAATTATTATAAATCTATTTAAAAGATAAGTCAATGGGTGAGTTTGCCCATAAGATTAAAAGAAGTTTTCACATCTTTTGATGCCTTTTTTTTAACATTTCTTGTTTATATCATATTATAAAAGTAATAGAGGTTCATTGTAGACATTTTAGAAAATATAGTCATATAAAGAAAAACAAAACCACTTCTAATCCCACCACCCAATAATAATCATTAACATCTTAGTATATTGCATTCTAGTCATTTCATGTGCATATTACATATGTTCAGCAAAACTGGAATTATACTGAGTATGCAACTATGAGTCCAGCTTTTTCTCTTAACAATATATTAAGTACATTTTATCATGTAAGCATTTGTCACCAAGGTATTTTACTCTCAATTACATTTGGACCTAAAGGGGGAATTTTTTTTTTTTGTAATTTACAAGGAAAAAAGCAAACTTCTTAATGACAAAAATACATTTGTTCTAGAGGCTTAATAAGTAATTGCTTTACATAAAAACTATATTTCTTACCTTAGATTTAAAACAAATGATGTTATTTATTTACCTTCACAAAAATAAAGTTCCTCTACTTTGGCTGCAAGTTACAAGATAACTCTCCTTACTACTTTAACCCAAGTAATGTTTTTATTACCTATACCAGTAAACTATTATAAACTTTAAAAATAAAACAAAAATCATTTTTAGGTATGAAAGGTCTCATATTAGGCATGCACTTGCAGTAGTAATTGTTTTGAAGTAAATCAGTTAGATAAG